CTCCCCAAAGCAAGCAACTTTCCTTATTTATAGCAAAACTACACCCCTTCTTTGACAAAATAGGTCTTGGGCTGTACCAGCAGATATTGCTTCTGGTATGCTCTTAGCAGACCCTGTTCATAAGGGCTACCTTCATCTCAAATTTAGACAGAAAAGAGGTAAGTAAAGATGATATTGTTTTTCTTTCTCAGGCTAATGAGGTTGATAGCCTTAGTTGCAAATGTAACACTTCATGCTTGTTGACATGAGAACTTTGCAATATTGATTACCTAAAAGAAAAAAAAGGTTCTAAATCCAGCACATAGTAGGCTTTAGAAATTCTCCATTTTTCAAGGATTGCTTCTGTATCTATGGAGTAAGTCCTCTATAGCAGTGGCATGAAGCAAGTGTGTGTGTGTGTGTGTGTGTGTGTGTGTGTGTGTGTGTGTGTGTATATATGTGTGTGTAGGGCTTAGTCCATCTGTCTGTGTCCATCTGTCCGTAACGCTTTTGGGGGTGTGTGGCTTCAGCCAGTAGTGCCAAGAATGGCGGGTAGGGCATGGCTCCAGTGGAGTGGGTCAGGTAGACATGGAGCGGCAAGCGGGGTGGCGGAGGGCCAGGCACGGAGCGGCTGGGGGGGTGGTGTGGGGCGAGGCACGGAGTGGCAAGGGGGTGTGGCATGGGGCTGGGTGCAGAGGCAAGGAGGGAGCAGGCAATTTACTAGTCCTTTAATAACATTGATGATGATGACTGTCACATCAGATATATCTAGTCCAGATGCAACCAGATGAGGATATAGAGCAATGAACTGGATTTGAACGGCTAGATGAGCTCTCAAAACCTTCCTGCCTCTGACTGATTTGATTACAGGATGATCTGCATAGCTATAGACAATAAAAACATAAGAATAGTCATTTACAGACCATAGGACCATCTTGCCCAGTATCCTATCTCGCACTGGCAGAGAGTAGATGCTGAAAGGGAGACCGAACAGGGTATGGCTAGGAAGTTTTCCCCACTGTTCCTCTTTCACTTGCAGTCTTTAGCATTTAAAGTATAGGAAGTTCTGATATTTAGAGCCTGTATCCCTGACACCCATGCTCAATATCCACTGATCCCTCTTTCCTACAAGAATTTGTCCAATCAGTTTTTGAATCTGGCTAAGCTGTCGGCCTTCACAACATCTGGTGGCAATGAGTTCCACACTTTAAAGAGAATTTCCTTTTGTTCTTTTTAATTTACTACTTACTAGTTCCATTCTGTGACCTCTAGTTCTTGTATTGTGTAAGAGAGTAAATAATAAATCCCTGTTTCCTTTCTCATCACCATTTAGTATATTGTAAACCCTTATGTCTCCCCCTCAAGCATCTCATTTCTAACTGAATAGGTGTAGCCTCTTATACTCTCCTCATATGGAAGTCTCCTCATACCACTAATCATCCTTGTTGCCCTTCTCTGGTTCTTCTGTAGCCTTTTTGGGGTGTGAGGACCAGAACTGGGCACAATATTCAAAGCGTGGATGCACAATGGATTTATAAAGGAGCATGATGTTATTTTCAGTTTGGTTCACAATTCCCTTCACAAATTCCTAATGTTTTGTTTGTCTGTAATTGCTGCTGAGCACTCAGTGGATGTTTTTAGTAAACTATTCACAGTGACTCCCAGATCTCTTCCCTGTGTGGTAACTGCTAATGTAGAGCCCATCATAGCATAGTAGATATCATTTGGGTTGTTTTTGCCCAGGTGCATCATTTTACATCTGTCTCCATAGAACTTCATCCACCATGTCGTTTCCCATTTGTTCAATCATGCCAGATCAGTCGTACCAGATCCTTCCGTAGTTCCTCACAGTCCATCTTGGTCTTTACCACTTCACATAATTTTGTGTCATCTTCAAATTTGGCCACCTTGCTAGTCGCCCCCTTTTCCAGATCATTTGAATGTGTTAAACAGCACTGATCCCAACACAGATCCCTGGGGGAACCTGCTGTTTACTTCTTTCCATCCTGAAAACTGACCATTTACTTTGTTGGAGTAGACCAGGGATATGGTCTACTCTAGTAGAGCAGCATCTGGATTTTCAGCTACTTGTACCTTCTGTAACATAGTAAATATTGCACTGTGGATCTGGCATCAACATCTCCTGTTAATCCTGGAAAGGCAATTTTCCAAACCCTATTTAATTAGAACTTTTGTCATCCTTCCTGAGTATAAGTACTTTTAGTCAATCTATTTTGAGCCAGCACATGGATTACTTGTGTGTAACTTGAGTTGTTCATGGTGGATTTTCATTTTCACCCTCTTGGCATTCCACACCCTGATTACAAGGCCATGGAGTACAGGGACAGGGCCTGAGATGGTTGGAGCACTGTGCTCTTGTGTAGCTTTAGCCTTGCAATGTTTACGAATGATGTTGGGAGAGGAACTGCTTCACTACATCTTGCTAGTCAGTGTTATGATCTGACCTATACTAATTGGTGCAAACAGTGGGTGTGAATATGCAGTCTCTCTTTTGAACATTGGTTACAAGTTACTAACTTTCATGTTTCTGTAAGAATGACCAGAAATGACGATAGTGGTATCCAGATATGCATCTAATAATACAATCTCAGAATGTCAGTCTTTGTTATCCAGGATATTATAATCAAAACTACTTTCAGATCTGGTTAAAGGGATATTGTCAGTTAATTTGTCCCAAGATGCAAATTTTGAAAACAAGTCTTTACAGATCCTAAAACCAAACAGACATTTTGCTTTCTTTTAAAGGAAAATAAATTTTTAATAAAATAATATCATCATACAGCATTTACAACATAAGCCTACAACTTCAGGTTGAATGTCAACATTAACATTCTAATAACTGCTTACTACTCTATTCACAATCCTGATTGAGAGAAATACAAAACAGGATTTATAATGATGAGTAAGGCAAAGATTGTGATGGAGTGGTAAAGATAAATGCAAAATAGTCTTACCTTTAGCTTGTCCATAAGTATTACTCTGGTTTAATTGACATAAGTGAAGTGCAATCGGATGTTAAATGTTTGGTACGGATGACCTGTCGAGTTTAAGTGGTCCAAGGCTTACTTAAATAGGGCAGATAATTAAAAGACCTTTACTCCATTCCCTCAATGGTTAAGACAGCTCCTTTTGCATTCAATGTTTTTTCTGTCTGCCTCCTGATTCCCAATGAAAGAGACATGCTTCTGAGGGGGTAAATCCTATTTCTGTAAAAACAAAGTGCAGCAGCAGTCCTTCCCTTTTGATAGAAAAGTGCTTTAATTATAAAATTAACTTGTTCTGTATAATGATAAGTCTGGTGAATGTTTCTTGGAGTATTCTCCATTAATAGAATAAAATAATTTCAAAGGGAAGTTTAAACATAGTTTATTTGTGTAGAAGAATATATGTTTTTTATGGATTAAGTATAAAAGAATCAAAATATTTAGCAAAATGCAGAAGTAAAAAATCATGAATATAGAACTGAAATGATTAAACTCTACATAGGGTGCACCTGCCTATTCTTGATGCTAGGACGGGGTGGGCAAAATATGGCTTGCGGGCCAGGTGTGGTCCACCGACTGGCTGGATCCAGCCTGTGGCTGTCCCTGTGGTGCTCCACATGGGGCTGAGCCCCACCCAGTCCTTCTGGGGCAGCTTGCACCATGTTTCTGCCAGCCCGGGTCCTGGCCAGCATGCAGCTTTTGGCAAGGTTGTTCCCAGTGCAGCTGTAGCTGGGCAGATTGTCCTCTGCTCCCTTCACCTCTAGCGGAAGCAGCTGGACTGAAGCTTTCCTTCTCTTCCCCTGCCTACCTGCCCACCGGGAGCAGCACAGCAGGGCCAGGAGTGGGAGGAGGAGCAGCTGCTGGAAGCGAAGGGAGCACAGCAGCACCCAGCCAGCTGTGGCTACACCTGAAATAACCCCACCGGAAGCAGCATGCTGGCCAGAGCTAGCGCTGGCAGAGCTATTCTGCTCCCCTTGCCTTCAGCTGTGTCTGCTCCTGTAGCATCACTTCAAGTGGACAGGTGAGGCTCAGGCTGGGGTCAGGGCTGATGGTTGTGTGTGGGAGCATGGCTCTGGCTGCCCTGGGTGGGGCTCAGTCTTGTGTGGAGCACTGCAGGGGTAGCTGCCCACTAGGCAAGCTCTGTTGCATGTGCCCTCTGCTTCCTCCTCCTTCTCTTCACCCTCAGCTGGCTCCCAGGCAGGCTCCCCCACCCATCACGTGCATACACCTCCCAGTCCCCGCTCTCCAGGGCAGGGTTTGCAGGGGGCAGATCATGTCCGTCCCACTCCCAAACACTGCTTTGCACCCACCCAAAGCCCCATGGGGAATTTTGAGTTGGGGGTGGTGGGAGAATTCTGACCCAGCCTGTGACAGCTCATCAAAACTCCTTATGTGGCTCTTGGGCCCAAATAATTGCCCACCTGTGTGCTAGGCCATATTGCTCTTTCTCAGCATGGTTTTGACTTGGCTGGCAGGGGTTTGGTCCTGGGCTACAGTAAGATTTCTCTTGTGAATAAGTACTTCTCAATGTAGAGATTACGCTATTTACATTTAGCTTTTCTTGCATCTTATGAACTAAAATCCTTCTGCTAATTCTAATTTTTAAGTAGGTGTGAAGTTCATTTAATTTTCGTATAATAACTCTAGGTTGTCTTTTAAGTGATAGTTATTCATCATTGTAAAATTTCATTACAGGGTTAATTAACAGGGAAAGGTAATTCATCACAATAGCCTGAAGTTTGGCAGAAGACAGGGTAGAGATTTACCTTATAAACTTGCTGAACAAGAGATTCATAAACTTCCATGAGCAAGAGTTCACTTCATGAGATGTTTGTAGGGTGCATTTCTATTTTATCTCATCTATTTCATTAAATTACTTTAGCTAAATCCACTAATAGTCTCTTATTCACTATAGATTGACAGCCAGCTTGACTTTTACTCTAGTATATGTTTTTTTTAATGTCAGTATTTTGCAGGAAACTTACTGCATTTATTTCCCCTCCCTCCCCCTTTCAGCAAGCTACATTGAGAGACCTCAGCTGATTCGAGCAAAAGTGCCAATAGTGAAATTCAGGGATAAAGTCAGGCAAGTATCTTAATTTAACCTTCTTTCTTAGACCTTGATGTGTTTAAAGTAATTGTACTTTGCTCGTGAAATAGTTCCCTTAAAGTTTTTTGTTCATATTTGACATTTATAGTCATATCACAAGTTTGCATTTTCTCAGCTAGCACATTGGCTCATTTCTTTTATTGCCCAAGGCAGCCATCATAACTGGAATGCTGCTGTTTCTATGTTCTGACTGAGTATCGCTGTGTCACAGAAATAATCTATTTGGTATTTCTGAATGCTTTGCTTCTGTAGACCTTCATTAATAAATACCTTGCAACAGAGAAGAAGTCAGAGAAAAATATTGTTAAAAGCAAATTTGCTTTTTGTGAAAACTAATTTGTCAAGAATTTATTCACAGCTCAGACTTAGTGTAAGCTGTCTTCCTGTTATCAAGCAAGCATTGTTTTTTGTAATAAAACAATATCTTTTTTTTTTAGTATGTAAAAATCTACAAAGAATCTTTTATCTGAATGGTATTCAAAATTAATATTTCAGGCCCTTTTATAGGGAAATGATTTGTGTTTTGTAGCAAATATTATGATTTATCAATGGACTGTGTACATGCATTATTGAAAGAAGGTACTGAAAGTATGTCTAAGGCATGGGCATGTTAATGATAAATAGTAGTTACATTTTATATTAATTACATTAATGCCTGTGAAAATAATATTAGAAATATGAAGGAGTGCTGAACTAGTTTACTGTACTAAATTTGTGCTTTCTGTTAATCCATTTTAGTAGTCGATACCCAACTTTTTATTGAATTGGAGAAAGCACATAATGGTCTGTGAATAGTACCTGAGTCTTTCCATGTTTCTAAGGCCCCATTTTAGAATAAGACTATGATTTGTATAAACCTTTCATGTTTTGATATGTAGGTACAGGTTTCCCGTAATTTATGTGGGTTCTATATATGCAAATTGGCTCTTATGCGATCACCCATTTTATACCCCAGATTCGTTATATGGGAGGTAAATTCACTTTTATGTGATCAGCTCTGGGGCTCCACTTGTGCCCCCTCACCCCAGCTCCTGGACTGGGCTGTGCCATGGTGCAGGCAGGTAGTGTCAGCTGCTCCCGGGGCTGCTGCAGCAGGGGCTGGGGTGAGTGGGGAGAAGTGGAGGTAAGTCCATAGGGGAAGGGGTGTGACACAGCTCGTCGGCTCCTGGGGCTGCAGAAGGGAGGAAAGCGGAGGAAACTGTGGGTGCAGGGTGTGGGGCATGGGATAGGGGTGTGTAGCTCTTTGTGCTACATGGGCCCCAGGTGGGCTGGGGGTCGCGCTGGGCTCTTCTCGGGGCACGTGCCCCTGGATATGCATGCAGTAGGAGAGCAGGCTGCCGCTGCAGGCTGGGGCTGGCAGCGGTACCAGGCTTTTCCCGGTGCTTGGCGGTGGTGCTGGGAGAGCAGGTTGGGGTGGCGCTACGGCAAATTTTGTGGTGGCAGCAGCTCCCCTCCCATTGCCATGGCCTGCCCCAAGCACTGGGAAGAGCCTGGTGTCAACCCCAGCCTGCAGCGGCAGCCTGCTTTCGTCCTGTGTGCAGATCTGGGGGCATGCGCTCCCCAGGAAGATGGTGCAGCCCCCCCAGCCTGCAGCCTTCCCAGGGGGCATGTAGCAGCAAGATCTGTACCCCCAAAATCTGGCGACCCACACTTACTCAGTTTCCTCTGCTTTGCTCCCTGATGCAGCCCTGGAAGTGGTGGATGGGCTGTGCCGCAGCCCTTCCCCCGCCCCTTCCCTAGTCCTAGCCTTGCTTCCTCCCTTCCTCACCACCGTGGGAATGTATCCCTATTTCTTGCATTGTAAACTGGGTTTCCTGTATGCAAATTTGATTTATGTGCAGTTTTCTGGGAACTCACGTACTGCATAAATCAAGGGAAACCTGTATTCCTAATAGGAATAGTTCTTGATATGAGCTCTGCTGGCACCACTTTTCCTCCTCCGGCTCCCCAGTCTACTTGGCCATTGAAAATGGAAAAAAAAAAACTATTGGACTGGGCCTTTTAAGAGTGGATAGGATCAAAAAGCCTTACTCTAGTACTATAAAATACATCATCTCTGTTTTCATTGGTGCTTACCTTCCAATATTGCTGTACTTTAATTCTGTAAAATGCAGAATACTTCAGAATTTACTTTTTCCACATATTTAAGGTTCTGAATAGCTGGAAGCATTGGAGAACTAGGTTTTTGCACTAGACTGAATCATGATACTAAGATAATGTAAAATTAATACTTAAATGTAGGCAGTTAACTGTAGGTATAAATTAAATAAGTGTATCCAAGTAATAAATTACTTAAGTTATGTGACGTTTGTCCAAATACCACAGTAAGTAGCTTTTTATATAAAAATTTAGTAGTAAATCCCAGGTAGTTTAACTAAATGTTTAGGTTACTATAAAAAAAAAATCCTTTAAAAATTCCTGGTAAGTATGGACATGACATTAAACAAATGGATAAGTTTACATGTCTTATATTATAAAGTACATATTATGAATACTTAAAACTTCATCTAATGCTAATGCAATCTAAATTATTATAACCTAACTAACAATGATCCACAAAATACAAATCCTTGGTAATCAGGACTTGAAGAATTTGCTTGTTAACAACTAGTTCAAGGTATAAACAAATTAGATAAGAAGCCAAGGCTACCATGTCCCCAGCAGTTTACAAGAATGAAGCTGTGTTTTGCTATTCTTATATGTATAATTGGAACATTGTTGGCCACAGTTAAACAACACAACATATTTTGTTATATTTCCTTTCTTTGATTTGCTCTAATTGTAAAAAGGATAAGAAAAACTTGGTCACTTTGCAACTTTCCTGAATGGTCTTAGTGTCTCCCCCATTTTCCCTGTTTTTTCTCCTTCCATTAAATTCTCTTTCCC